CATGCAAGCTTGTCCCTGACAACTCCCTCCACCCTCCCAGGGCATCCTGCGTTCTGGTCAAACAGAACTTCTGGCTCCTTATAGCCAGCTTTCAGTTTTTGCATACCTCCTTTTTGCTCATGCTGTTCCTACTACCTGGAATGAACTCATCAATTGCCCCCCACCCCCCAAATGTGGAAATTCCATCCATCCTTTAGGATCCCATCAAATGTTGCTTCATCCAGAGCGCCTCCCTGACCCATCTAGCTGGACAGGCCCTTGCCTTCCTCCAACCCCTGTGGCACTTTGACCAGTGACTCCAGAAGTGACCTTTCTTTCTCCTTCCCCTGGATTAGAGACACTTCCTGTACCCATGCTTCATCAGACCACAAGCTACTTTTGCCAGAAACCATGTCCTACTGTCTCTGTATCTCCAATTGGGGAAGAGGCAGAAATGCACTATTTGTTGGAGAAAGGAAGGAAGAAGGGAAGGGGGGAGAGAGGGACGAAATCTGCTTCTAGTCCCTGGACATGGGTCCATTTACAGCAGCCAGCTGCCTGGGCATGAACAAAAGGATTCTTCTCTTTAATTAGTACTGATGTCCTAGACCAGGAAGACCAGGGCATGTTTCTCATAAAAACGGCTGGGTCTATGTTTTCTAACAATGATTCTCATTTCTTTTCTCTGTGTTTCTAAATCCACTGTGGGGCATCTCTGTTATTTTCCAGCTTGGCTCACCACGGCCACAACGTCAGCTTGATCTGTCCCTTTATGCTTTGGCATCAACCAAAACTAAAAGATAAAATGCTCTCTGGAGACCCAAAACATTGCAACACGGACTTGTCAGGTCTTGGGGTTGCAAGCAATGCATATGAAGATATTTTTATTTTTAAAGTTTTGGATGCTGTGAGGTTTTTTTTTTTCCTCCTATGGTCTTTTTAATGACTTTGCAAGGAAACTTCCTGGGTTAACGTAAGATGCTTAGTTATATTGGAAGCAAGTTAATAAAAGGGAAATTAAATTCCATATAATACAGATGGAAATAAAATATTTAATAGTGTCATAGCAAATAGTAAGCTACTGTGGGGCAGAGTGGGGAGAGCGTAGGATTTGGAGAGCAAGTTGCCATCCTAGCCCCGCCCGTACTAATAACTACGTGATTTTGGGCAAGCCAATTAAACTCTCTGAGCCTCAATTTCTTCATCTGTAAAGTTGAGATCAACATACGTAGTGTCTAAGGTTCTTGTGAGGATTAAATCACACGCAGCAAAGGGCCAAGTGTGGTCCCTAACACACAGTAGGCACGCTCTATGTGTTGAATGAAAGAACAGGTGGGAAAGAAAAGTGTCATACTCCAAGCAGAAACCTGATCCTGGGAAGAAGGCAGATTGCTAAAGAAGGAAGAGCCCAAGCTTTGGAGTCAGTCAGATATAAATTCAAGCCTCAGCTTTTCTCTTGCTATCCCTGAACCTTAATTTCCTCCTCTGCAATAGGGGGTGATCGTAAAAATAAGAATAATCACCTCACTGAGTTATCTAGAGGCTTAAAGAATATATTTAATGCCCTTTGTAAACTGCACCACTAAATTATATTTTAGATACTGGTATATACCCACCTACGTCATTCAATACTTGGGGTCAGCAAGGCCCCTAGGGGAGCCAGGACCAGAAACAACACTACCTTCAAATTCTGGATCTCCACATGGGAGGGAAAAACTGTTCTTTCTGAAAACAGCTGCCCTGTTTTATTCTAAAACTTGCTCGGTTTCAGTGGTGTGTGTGTGTGTGTCTGTAAATGTAAATGTATCCAGTTCAGAGGGAGCTCAGTCAACATCAGGTTTCTGTGTGTATATATTTATGTATACAGTTATTAAAGTGCTTTTAGATTTTTTTCAAGGCAGAAGATAAACTCATTTAATTTAAAATCATCAGCTGGATTGCATTAAATGGAGGGAAAAGCACAAATGTACACAATACAGCCATTTGTTAAATTAAATGCAATTATTTCTCCTGCTACTTAATTACAAACAGACATAAATACTCTGGATTCTGACATTTCAGATCTTCTTAAATTCTAGATCTGCATTTCAACATGTAACAAAGGGAAGGTCATATTCCAATCCATGTGTTAAGCAAACCTGAGAGTTACAGTTGTATATAAGGACCATAATGAGTTCACTAAAACAAGACCCAAACTTTTAATTAACCTGCCAAGACACATTACAACTCACAGCTCACAGGTAACAATCACAGACAGCAGTGCCACGGACTCTTGGGGAGAGAGGGATTAATAGCAACATTAGAATCGGTCTGTTCTTGTATTAAAGAAAAAAAAAGGTATTCATTAAACAATCACTGTAGCTTGAAGGAAGACAGACAAGTCCAAAAGGCAGCAAGAGAAGATGGAAAGAGAAGGAAGGTGGAAGAGAATAGTAGCAACTTCCACTGACTGGGTGCTTACAGGGCCAAAGCCTCTGCGAGGCATTTTCGATCTGCTCTAATCTTCACAGCGGGGATTGCAAAGTACTATTATCTCATTTTCCATATAAGAAAAAGGAGGCTCAGAGAGGTGACCTGACTGTGGTCACAGAGCTAACGTGGGGCGGTTAGGGGAGGAAGGAAGAGAAAGCAGTGCTCATGAGGCATTTCTTCTCACAGCTCAGCTGACAGACCACCGGAATCAGGATTATCTGGGCTCTACCTAAGGCTTAGTGGGTCATAATTCCTGGGGACAGGGTCCAGGAATCTGAATTTTAAGCCAGCTTCCTGGGTGACGCTTTGCACAACAATGTTTGAGACCATTCCTAAGATACCATAGCCCCCTGCTACTCAAGATATGGTTCCCCAGATGAGCAGCACTGGTTAGAAGTGTAGGACCTAAGAATCCACCTACTGAAGCAGGATCTATATTTTAACAAGACACCAAGTGGTTCATAAAACTCTGAGAAGCACAGGATAGCCTATCTGCTCTAAAAGATATTATAGGGTTAAGGGAGGTGAAGGCAGACTTCATCATCAAGCTAAGAACAGGAGAACCAGAGGGAAAAGCAAGACCATCGCCTTAATTATGGCAAAACAGGTTAGCAAGCTCTGACAAGCCAAGAGTTGGCAGAGGTACCTAAAGGTACCTACATTTTACTTCTCTGAGAGGCACATCCTAATTAAAAGTAGCTTTCTTTGGGGGTTTATATTAATATCCTTTCATATTTATGCTCAGTTATTAAAAATAAAGAATTCTGATTGTAAGAGAACTGGGTTCTGACCAAGCACGACTGTGAGCTGTGCCTAAGTGAAGTCAGGCTGTGGGACCGTGAAGCTCTAACTCAGGTACCGCTAATGACTCGATAATCCTTGTCGCTAAAACGAAGCCACCGTGCCCAGAAAGAGAAAAGGAACAGGGTCTGGAGCCTGGCAAACCCCACAGAGTGACAGCCTCACTGACGGTGAGGACCCCAACTGGCTCTCCAGTGATGGGATGGGGCTGTGTGCATAGCCTCCTGCTCACCAGCCCACTGCAGCAGGGCCTGAGCAGACGGAGCGCCATGCTCCAGCTCACGGCCTTATCCGCTGAGTCACCTGTCGGGGCCCGGGCTGGGTGTCGGCAGGCAGAGAAGATTATGTTGAAGTCCTCGCCCTCTAGTCCCTCAGAGACCAGCAGCTAGGACAGACACTTCTAAATCACAGATGCACAAAGTGCCATCTCCTCCCTGGGAGCTGATGTAGCCGGATGGCCTCCACTGCCCTCATTTTGCCAGGAGGGGAGACCACGGAGCCTGCAGGGACAGCAGAAGGGTACAAACCATGCCCACATTTAATGGGATAGGTAGTCTCTGCCTCGACACTAATGGCAAAATTGCAAATGAGAGGAGAAGGGTCTGAACACGATGACTGCTGTTTAGAAGGAGAAGCCAGGGTTTTGTGGGAGTTTTAGGGACCAAGGACCAGATTCACAGGTTTTTATTCAATTCCCGTTCTCCATGTCACAGAGACTCCCAGCCAAGGACTGAGACAGGGTTTTGAGGTGAACCCTATACCACATAAAGCTTTTCATTAAGCAGAAACCCTGTTTCCAAGCATTCTGGCTGGTGGAGTTTTATTTTCTGTAAGTTTTATTTTCCTGCAGGGGATTTTGTCTTCAGGCTATGCCATAATGCTTCCAGTATAAACTCAGAAAATGTTCTCTGATCTGAACCACTGAGACCACTGTGTCCTATGGCTATCTAAGGAGGAGACAAATTCTATGGGGTGTGCAGGTAAAGAAGAGAAATTCCAGGCTCCCCAGACACCAGTAGGCTTGTGGGGTGGCCCAGGGGCTCACTCTGAACAGAGAGCTGTGGCCCTCTTCCATGACGAGGGATAGAGAAGGTGTTAAGCCTGATTTCAAACATCAATGCTCGCTCTCTGTCAGAGACCAAGATGTCTCTGTTCTCAACAGAATCCCAGTTTGACTGATCACATTGTTCATCTGGGCCTTCGCTCTGCCATTCTCATTCTCTCTCTGAGCCTTCATCTTCTTTTCTCAACTGCCAGGGACTGTTAGCTCCAAAGGCAAAACAAACAAACAAAAAGCCACACACACTCAAAAACAAAAATCCAAATCACAAATCAATGAGTTGAGCCAAGGAAGCTATAAAGACAAATACAGGTGTGGGAGAGAAGTGACAAGAAGAGATGTTGCCTCCATGTGGCTGGTCAGACAGGGTTCCCGTCTTGTTGTCAGTTCTACCCCTTGGTTTCAGTGTAGCAGCTGGTCCACAGTTAACACCAGAAAGGCAGTGGGCAACAGCCCAGAATGGCCTGCCAGCCCCTCCTCTCATTCCTCCCTTCCCTCATTTCCCTGATTCCCACTCCCATCCCTGTCCAGCAAGCCAGTCAGGATGGACTCATGCCAGACTCCAGGTGGCATTGACAGCTGTGGGCAAGACATATTCCCTTGTTGGCTCCAATCCTCAGAATCCCCCACGTCCTTCCACCCAAAGAGACAAGATCCCACAGGCCCCAGGGGGCTGGAGGCTCCTTACCAATGGCAGTGGTGAGAAAAGAAACCACTTCAGACTCCTTCCCGTCATTGTAAAAAGCCAGGTGCCAGATTCCTGAATCCAAATACTGGATGAAGCCGGTCTCATGACTAGATGGGGGGACGACTCCCCGAGATTGGCGTTGGGGTCCTTCCAGGCTCCGTGCCTCCTGGGTCAGGAGCCTTCTTCCATCCAGCAGCTCTACAAAGTCAAACTAAAGTACAAAGAGGGCGTAATTAGCAGTGCGTCTGCTTCACCACAATGCCAGATTCCTTCTTCATACTTCTCCTGGGGAACACACGAGAAACCCAACCTGAGAACAGGCACAAAGGCTAAAGCCACATGAAGGTTGATCAACCAACTTTGACTCCTCCCCAGACCCCTGTTTTACATGGTAATAGTCTCCAGATTCCCTTGTGAGTGCAGCATAAATGGCGAATTATTCTTTAGTCTTGTTTTTCTTTAATTTGGTGTCTATGTGGGCAGTCTTCCTCTGGCTGAGTCTGTACCAAGACGAACATGCTTTTCCAATGGTGGGCATGTCGTGATCAGAAACCCGGCCATTTAATGACTTCACCCCAACTCTGTGCAAGGGATGGTGGGAATTCCAGGGCTCAAGGACTGGGACTGCAGCACTGGATGTGCCTTAAATGTCAGTCAAGTACAAATGAAAATTTGATTCCTATCTATCTTCCTGTTATCAACGATCCTTTCTAAATGCTCCAGTTTCAGGGAGCAGTTTTAGGGGAACTAAACTGGATTAGTTCAAAATTCTATCAATAATTACATGCTGGGTCAGATACACTGCTGACTGACCTGAGCCCGGTAGTGTGAGACTCAAGAGAAGCCAGTCATGTGGTGTTAACAACAGGTAGGTGGTTAAGTCCTACTGGTCTACCAGCAAGCAAACTGAGCAATTATCTGTCTCCTAGCTATCTATCCATCTATCCACCTACCTTTCTTCTAAAAAACCAAGGTATCTATTCTATTTCACGTATAAATGAAGTCCAGGACTAGGATTGCTGTTCTACAAAGGAATAAGGGGCCAGGGCTCTGTTTTCCTGTGATTCTACCGTCAGCAAATACATCTATGTAGCTTTCACCTAGAAATCTTCCATAACGATTGGGGCTACGAAGGCTGCACATGGCCTGGGAATGTCTGATGGGTGCCTCTGACTTATGTTACTCCAATCCCAGAACTGGGAGGACCTTACCTTACCAAGTCTGTTCTTTAGCCATCACAACTGGTAACAGGTCAGTCATCCTGGATGAGTTGTCAGGTGTTTCTGGTACGCGTGTGTCAGAGTAACCATGAACCCCCAAAGGACAGAGGGATGTAAGAGACTAGGGAAGTAGCATGTACTTTGAGACAGATCCTACACTATCTGCCTTATAAATGTTCTTCTAGATCCTTCACAACAGCCCTGTAAAGTGGATATTGGTGTCGCCACTGGAGGGATTAGAAACTTGCTGAGTGGATGAGTACCAGGCTGGAGGCTTCATAGCTGATAATGAGAGGATTCAAACTCAAGTCTGTCTGGCTCTAAAGTGCCTGCTTTTCTCCTTAGGTTACATTTCTTGGATCATTTAACATAGGTGATTGGGTAACAGTAGAAAGGCTATTGGAATATTTCCTAAAATTCCCTCTTCTTAAAAAACTCCAGGGATAGAACCCTACTCATTGGAAAGGTAGGGTCTTAAGAGAGGGCAAATGGAGGAATGGGCTATCAAATACATGAAATGCCCCTCAAGCACAAGGCTCCGGGTATAACATTAGGCTTCCTGACTTGAGGTTAAGGTGTGAGGTAGGAGCCCCCGGAGGTCAGCAGGGGATGTGGCGTTCTGATTACCTGTGTATGTGAAGGAGGAAGGCCTTTTCTGCCATAAATGCCAACCAGAGCTGCCTTTCCCAGAGACACATTGAATTTCAGATGCACAGGATGGTCTATGAACACCTGAGATCTCCAGAAAGTGCCAGGAGGAATCTTCTGGGAAGCCCGTCTCCCCACGTCGATTTCTCCAGAGTCTATAAAACTGTCCTCTGGAAAGAAACTACTGGGCTTTCCTACCAAGACACAGGGAAGGGAAGACAAAGACAGCACAGTTAGCCACAAGTGACACGTGGGGTCAGAGCCCCTGAACTGCAGCACGAGCCTGTGTCTCCTGTGCTTCTCTCTACGATGTTCCACTGCCAGCCCCCACCCCCACTCCCCAAGGAGTAAGAACATCCAGAACTTTTTTTTCCCCAGTAATGCTCAAATTGTTCTGCTAAAAATATGCATTCTTCCAAAGCAGTATGGGTCCTCCCCAAGGGCCATCTGTATACTGCACAATTCCACAGCTTGTTAAGGTATATTTTGATCCCCAAAATGATCACTTGCGGTCACAGGAGAATAACTTGTGTGTGTGTGTAAAAGCATTTACGCTAAAATAGGAAGGGTAGTGGAACAAGGTGTTGTTATTAAATTTCCAACTCAGAATGGTTCCCCTAGCTTTGGGAAGCATGATCTACATCACCTACATTTGGGAAGCATATTCTACAAATTTACATGTTTATGTATAATTGGAACCAAATTCTGAGGCTAAGACATATAGATGGGGATTTATGTTGGGAGCAGGAGTAGGGTTGGGGAAGGTGAAAGAGGGGGTACTTCTGAAGGGAGGGAATACTTCTTTTTTTTTTTTTTTTAAAGATTTTTTTTATTTATTTGAGAGAGAGAGAATGAGAGACAGAGAGCATGAGAGGGAGGAGGGTCAGAGGGAGAAGCAGACTCCCCACCGAGCAGGGAGCCCGATGCAGGACTCGATCCCGGGACTCCAGGATCATGACCTGAGCCGAAGGCAGTCGCTTAACCAACTGAGCCACCCAGGCGCCCCGGAGGGAATACTTCTAAAAAATGCTTCTGAGTCTTGGATGGAGGTCTTTGAATATCGTTTTTGTGCTGAAATGGGGGGGCCAGTTGTAAAGTTTTGGGAATTTCTCAAGTTCAGGCACAAAGCCTATGACATACTTGGAAATTCAACCTGGGTTCCTGACCCTGCAGGTTGTGGGGAACAGAGTCAGAAATACGGCCCCTTGCCCATTTCTGTCACCAGTCAGGAGAGTGACAGCTTTCTGGGGGCACCTGAAGTACCAGGAAGGAAGGCGGCTTATCAAACTTCCTCTATTTAGTAATTAAGCACACTCACATGTGAAAACTATAAACCCCACTTCCTGCCAGACATCAGCCTTCTGAGGAGTTGGGAGGGGACAGAAGGAGGTGACAGGGATGTTAGAAGACCTACACCCTTAGGACATCGACAAGCCAAACTCAAGCCAGCAGACGACATCCTATTTGTCATAAGGAATCACCCCCTGGGTATCCTAGTTCCAAGATTTGGTGTTTTGTTAGAGATGTTCGAAGAGACACTTTAGAGAACAAGAATCCATTTGTAAAGAAAACACGTTTGTGGGAACTTTTTTATAAAAAGCATTTGGGGAATAAGAAATTAAAATGTCTTTTTCCCCCTAGGTTTGTAAGATTCCTTACAAAGCACATTTGATGCTGAAATGGAGCTTGGCAGGGCATTGTTGTAGTCATAAAATATTTTACTGTTTTAAATAATAAAATTCAATTTAAATGTTAAACTTCTCCATATGTTATCATTCCTTTATAAACTCCTAGGTAGAAACATCAGGTTTTTAGCTTCAAACTATTAAATGTTATTTTAATTAAAAATATGCCAACAAAAAAAGTTAAAATGCATGCTCTCAATAAAAGCACCACTAGTATTCTGTCATTAGCATAGGAAAGAGCTTGCATTTGATTCCTTTATGGAAGGAATGTACCCCAGACTTTTACCTTGAAAATGTAGACACACACAAACCACCACACTGTGGTTCAAAGTTCAAAGACAGAAGCCAAATTCACAAAGCATTAGGATGGAAGAGAATTATTTTCACATTCTTATCTGATTTTGGGGCTCCCGATACCACAATTCTTTTGTATTCTAGGTAGAAAAGAGCATGCCCTTTAGCTTCTAATTCTGCTAAGGATGCAGAACTATGAGTTTCCTCCTAGAAACTGCATAGAAATAAGCCCGAGACTGCTAATTCCAAGGACTCATTTCCTTTGTGAGTAGGTGGGAGTCAGAGCTGATGGGATTTCAGAATTGTCTGCATTCAAATAATTCCTATGTCTGAGAATAAATAATGAATGCTTCCCCCACAGTTTGGCATGCTGTCGGGAGCACCCTGCCTGATTCATTTTCCCCTCTAGTGAGCATGTTTTTAAGAGACAGCTATTCCCTCAGCTAAGTTCTGAGCCTCACAGGTCAGAGGCCAGCCCAGAGACTCTCCAGAGGTCTGCCGGCCCCAGAGGCACAAATAAGTTGGCTTTTACCCCAGGGAGTGGTAGAAAGGGAATATTCTTTTCTAGCATTCTAGTATTTCACCAACGTGGGCCCAAATGGTAGAAAATAATTATTGTTGGTATGTACACACAATCAAATAAAAATAGTAAATTCTGTTCTAGGGCACAGCCCTCACCAGGACCTTGACTCTCTTGGCTGAGTCTGTGAGGGCCACTTGGGCTTCAGTTCAAAAGTGACCTTCGTGCCAAGTCACCCGAAGGGACCACAGCCCAGCCTAAAGGTGATGTTTTGGAGGGAAAAGAGGATCCCCATCTAGGGATTTAACCTTTATCATTCCTCTACTCTGGTCCCCAGTGGTCCCCACACTGGACTACACACAGGGATGAGATGGGGGCTTTGGAGGGGAAAGAACTACAGCCCACGGAGCACCTCTGCCTGGTGGGAAAGAGACATGAGATTGACTGGTCTAGCAGTTATTCAGAGTGAAGCCACACACACCCCTTCCTGCCTTCCTCTTTCCAGATCCTACAACCTAAGACTCTTTGTTCTTAATTCTGAGCACCAAGCGGTGAGCACTAGAATAGAAACTATCCCACTACACCGCAAGGCCCACCAGTGGTAGAGGAATGAGAGATGGTAGAGGGAGGAGGGAGTTGGGGGAGAAAGGTCCTGTGTATAAAATTCTTTTTATCCCTACCCACATTCTGGAAAATAATAATGATGACAAGAACAACAGCAATAAGAGCAGTAGTAGTAATAGTAATAAAGGTAGAAGTAGTAGTAGCTGTCATTTACTGCTCTGACCATATGCTGGGCCCCTTTATGTACACTGGTTCAGTTAATTCTCACACTAATAAGATGTATGTACTGAGACTCAGAATACTTAAGAAACCATTCAGAGATAAAGCCATTTGGGGTTTCTCTTCATTTATTATGGCTTCTTAAGGCATTAAATTGATAAATGGTTAATTAAAACTCTTCAAAGATACTCTCAATGGTGGTAGAGTGCACTGACCCTCTTTAAGACCAAGAATCCAACTTAACTCACAGTCCCAGCAGGCTAACCATCAAGGCTAGGCCAGGTAGATCCAAGGCCCACTGAGCACCATGGAGCACAAAAAGTTGACAATTTTTATGAAGTAGGAACCCATAAACAGGACCCAGAGTTAAAGGGCAAGAGTTGGTGTCTCAAGTCATTTTTAAAAAGGATACTACACAATTAGTGGGGGCCCCCCAGAGACATAACAAACAATACCAAGAGCTTAACTAAGAATGAGGAACCCCCAAGAGCATGATCAGGTTTCATAAGGCAAGTTTTACTGGTAACAGTCCTGTTCTTTGTAAAGATATACAGATTCAGCTTTCCTGTAGCAATGGCCACACAAATATGCAATCCCGTCTATAAAAGACATTTCTCAGCAAACTACTTGAAATGATTGGATGGCTCGGTCAAACCAGGAAGACTTGGAAGAACTGAAATTCCATGCACTTCCCAGTCATAGTCCTCACTTTCCTGAACTGAGATCCATCTACACAGGTTTTAAATTCCTAATCAACTAACGTTCTCCCCCTCCCTCCACCTTTCTGGTTCTTTTCAATGCAATAACTTGCACAAAGAATCCTTTAGTTTCCTTAGCAACTGTTGGAAATTTATTTGGTTATCAAAATAAGCTGTTCCATTTTGGAGAGCCCAGCTGAGCCGGCGTGCAGCAATTTACATGGTTTAAACTGATGGGCAATTTTGATTTCACTGCAGAAAGAAGAAAATGCTATCCCTAAGCCCACCAATTCAACCATCAGAAATGCTTGTTTATTCAATGCTTTTCCCCCTCTTTTCCATTAATGCATAACATAAGTTCTTTACTTCAAAAAGCTGCCGTATTTGGTTTCCGTCCTATGACACCCTGAAATGGTAACAGCCACTTTGAAAATATAGTGTAAATTGCAGTTTGATGTGACTCTAGACAGGATGAACATTTAAAATACTGGGCTCATCATAAATTTCATTTGTATAATTAAAGAATATATATCCTTTTAAAATATTCAAAAATGCCCCAATTATTTGCAGGGTCTTTGAGGGGAAAATATTACTTAGTCTGGATTTCTGAAATTCTAATAACTGACATGGAATGGCTCGGGATTTGAGTGGATGAGAAGAAAGAAGTCCACTTGTTGAGGTGTTACCATTCTGGTTCTTACAGATGAAGAAACAAAGGCCAAAGAAGATGGAGTGATCGGCATGAGTTAACAGGGTATTCAAACCCTCGACGATCTGGCTCCAAGGCCCATTTATCTTCTTTCCATCATGTCACATTGCTTCTCCCATCTCTGTAAACCAGGGCTCTAATCTTAATTCTGGAATCAGCTCTCCTCTCTGATACCCGCAGAAGGGACAGGAAATATGTACTCACATCAGTGTTAAAGACTTTTGCCCTCGAGATATGTCTAAGGAAGTAGATTTTTAACATTACAATTAAAAACATAAACTGTGTAGACATTGGTTTGACCAGGGCAAAAGAAATTAAGAACCATGTGGTCTCACATAAACTGTAGGAAGCTTTGTCCTCTGTTTTTTCAGACTGATGTATTTTTTGTCATAGTAATTGCTTTTGATGCTGACCACTTTCCAGCACTGCACTGCATTTTAGGGGTTTGTACACAGGATTTCCATTTGCATTAGTAATGACAGATAATCCCTTTAAGCAAAAATACTCCAATTAAAGTAAACCAATAAACTGGTGCAATTTTATTTTGTCTCTTATCTGCACCTCCTGCTCCTTGGGTAAAACAAAACAAAACCTAAAAAAGCCACAAACTAATTTCATTAGAATGGGAGATTTCAGATAGATCCAACTCCTGTTTAGAGAATGTTTGATGGAGATCACGGAGGAAAGAAAATACATTTTGCTAAATGAGACCTTTTTCCAATGCCTTCAGGGTTAAACATATCTTAAATCTGCCTTTGTACATGCTGATCTAAAGACTGTCCACATTTATAATATTCATGTATGGCATCTGACACTATAAACTGACAAGGGAATCACAAGCCCACAGGCAGGACCATGGACAGGGCTGACCTGGAAAAAGATTCTGGAGACCATCTGGTTAGTCTGATGATTCTATTACCAATTTCATATGTAGGACTTGTGAATTAGAACAGACCCTGGAGATAATTTAGCTCAATAGCCTCCTTTTAGTGAGAAGGAAAATGAAGCTCAGAAAGTCTTTCAAGGGATTTGCTGAAGGCCAACTCAAGTGGCAGCAGCTGGGCTTGAACTCAGGGCTCTTGACTCCTAACCCAGAGCTCTTCCCGTGGCCCCATCCATGCTCCTTCCATGTTCTATTAAAGGGCAAAGGAAGTGTAAGTTATTCATTGTTTCAAGTCTTAAAATATTTGTAAAGGAGAAGACTGGAATTGCCCCTAGGAAAAGTAGGCAGAAGTTCTGGTTTGGCTCCATGGAAATGCTCCCATTCTTACTTTCCTTAAGGACCATAAGTCAAGAATTGGTTTTGTTGGAATAATACAGAGAATATTAGCATAGCCCCTGTGGAAGGATGACATGCAAATTCATGAAGCGTTCCATATTAGAAAACAAAAAAAGAAAGAGTTGATTTCGGCCTTCAGGATCATTTGGAGATTCTGAGTAGCTACTTCAACCAAGCATATGGTACCCTGTTAACCAAACTGATTCCTGGAAGGCAAATCCTTAAAAGGACAGGGAAGCTCAGAAGCTAAGACCCCAAAGTTAACTGAGATGAGAGGAAAGAAGATATAAGCAGTCAAGGTTGGAAGCAGATATGACCACTTTGCTGACAGATTAACACCAGAGAGATAAAGCAGGGCACAGCAGGTACAGGACAGGGAGGTCCACACCTGCCCAGAATGACAATGAGACTGGCTCATTAGCTCAGGCATCTTTCCTATTACCATTTTTGTAAGTCTCTGCCACTCTTGGCTGATAGTGAAAGAATTTGTGTAAATGGCATGTTAGACCTTTAAGAAATTCAAAACATGGGTCTACCAATGTCCCACTTAAGAATGCCAAACTCCAAATGTCACCACCACTTCCATCATTGATGGAGAAATATTTGTGTCTTGTTGTACAATGGGATTTTTCATCTGTATCTCCTTCAGTCTTGTAACCATTGGGTGAGTCAGGTAGGACCACTTTTGGAGATAGCAAGAGCTCTGGAGTCATCCACAGCTGGGCTCCATTATTTCCTGGCTATGCAGCTCTGGTCAAGTCAAGTAATGTAACTCTTGAGTTTCTGCATCTAAAATGGGTATAAATTCTCATACTTACCTCACAGGATCTCTGTGAGGATTAAATGTGAAATGCTCTTGACAAAAAACTTTGAACCAAACAAACTGTACAAACACTAATGATTATTGTTATTGCAGATAAGGAAACTGGTGGTCAGGAAAATTAGTGACTTGCTTAAGGTCACATGGTTGGTAAATGCTAGAATACCGCAACTGGTGTTTCCGTTACACCACAAGGGTCCGAGGGTATTTCGATTACAATATACCATCTACCCACTTCACCACACCCTCTCCTGGAGATGCCCGTTCACCCCCATGAGGTTGCTCCAGAAGGGCTCGTCTTGATTCCACACAGTCAAAGCCAGCCACCCCAGCAGTGTGAAAGCCCATAATGCTTCCCTCAAGGCATGAGATGGGATGCCGTTGAGCACCAGGAGTGCTGCCCAAGCCCTGCTACGAGCTCACAGTGACAAGAAACTGAGATGAAGACACAGGTGGATGGGCAGCCGGCGTGGAGTGCAGAGAGATGGAGAAGTGCCAGAGCATGGAGCTGTGAGTCAGGCACATGACGCGCATAATGAAGATCTCTTCGGTTCAGAGGCAGACACAGAGACTCACGACACGGACAACACAGCAACCCTACCTTCTGTGGCTCCTTTGCCTTTCCTGTCAGGGATCTCTAACCCAGTGCCCCCTGATGGATACAGGGAGACGTCCGTTGGCACAGGCCAACTGCTGGCTGTGTCCTCCGTGATCTCATACATCTGCCCCTCCATCGGCTGCAGGTGCCAGTTTAGGCCAAACAGGTGCATGGCTGTGGTGAGCAATGAGAAAAGTCATCTTTTTCTGCTGGCGGTGGAAATGGAACTCCCAAGCCACAGGGGAGGGCAGGTGGGGCGGGGGGCGGACACAGGAATTCAGTTCATCTCAGTTCAACAAATAGCCCCTGAAGAGGGCTCTTGCAGCGCCAAGCCCTACACAGGGGACTGGGGCGTGGAGATGCTCAGGGCACAGACTGTGCCCTTGAGGGCTCACAGTCTGGAGGGACTGGGAGAGGGGCAGGGATTGGGGGGGCGTGGTTCAGGAAGTCTTGGACTTTTGCTTCAAAAGATAAATAATCTAGGGGGAAAGTTTGCAACTTGTATCACAATGGGTTAATTTCATTAATATAAAAATAACTCCTACAAATAATAAGCAAAATCCAACAGCTTAGTAGGTATATTATATGAACCCTGAACAGAGACTTAACAGAATAAGAAATACAATCGGCTCTCAATCATATGAAGACTCTTGATATCACGCATAATAGGAGAAATGTAAGTTAAACTTTGAAATACTATTTTTCACATATGCTTTGGCAAAGATAAAAAAAGGTTAAAATTATACAGCATTGACAGAGAATAGGAAAAAAGCACTCTCATTCTTTGTTGACGTGAGCATAAGTTGGTACAAACCCACTGAAGGACAATTTGAAAAAAGCTATGGAATTTATAATAAACATACCCTTTACCCTGGGACTTAAAGGTTCCCAGGATTTCTAGAAAATTCTAGAAATTTCTCCTCCAGATATACTCATGTACATACTAAATGATGTACATAAAAGGTTATTCACTGCAGCACTGTTTGTAGTAGCAAAATATTGGAGTCCATCAATAAGGGGCTAGAGAAGTTAACCTTCACACAATATACTATGCAACCATAAAAAAGTACGTGCAAGCTCTTTGTATTTTTCTGAATAGTGTATCTGAATGCAGAACAGTGTACCTGAAATACTATCTTTGGGTTAAAAAAAATCCTGTATATGTATAGAATGTTTCTGAAGGATATGAAAGACATTGGTTACAGCAGGTGCGGCTTATGATAGAAAGAGATGCTAAGGATCAGGGATAGGAGAGAGATCTGCTTTTCACTGTATATCTGTTGTACTTTTTTATTTTGTAGCACGTACATGCATTTGTTTTAAAAACATTTTTCCAAGGTAGCAACTGCTAGTCTTGTGCAACAATCTAGAAGAGACCATAAGACGCCAAAGAATGGACTTGTCCCTTAACATACACAATGCTTGAAAAGGCTAGGAAGCTTGTTTCTAAAAAGCTTTGTGATCTAGTACAAAATGTCTGCTTAAATCCTATCTTAGGATTCAAGACTTGTCAATGGTCCCTATTTACCTCTTTGGGGAGGCCTGCCCTGATTCCTCACATACAGAGTTAAGCACTCCAGTCTCTGATTCCCCCAGTATCCTGTACGCAACATCACTCCTTTGTTGTACTGATGAACATTTTCTAGAAGCCCACTCTATACCAGGACCTATGGCTGACTCTGGAGAGCCAGGACATAATCAGACAGTCCTTGCTTTCACAAGCTCACAGTCAAGTAGGGAAGACGGACAAGGAACCGAATCTACTCAGAAGGACTAGAAGGCCCAGAGGAGGCTGTGACCAACCTGCTAAGACGGCCAGAGGAACCCAGGGAAGGATGTACAGAGATATGAAGCTCATAGTCATTAGGTTTACTGAGGACCAACTGCATGCCAGGAAGTGCACTGGGAAATTTGTATTTATTTGACATCTAATCCTTAAGGCAGCCCTGCCAGACCCAATGTGCAGATGTGCACGTCAAGACTCAGAAGGTTAATTAAGATACTTATAAAACTATGCTTCACTGAGTTCCTATCGCATGCCAGGCATTGTGCTAAGAGCAGTAAACACAGTATTTCCTTTGATTCTCACAAAAATCCTGAAAGGTGAGTATTAATAACCCTATTCTACAGATGAAGAAACCAAGACACGATGCCATCGATGAACATACGGAAGGTTAAATGGCTGATACGTGGCACAGTCTGGACTAGAACCCACAACTATTCAAACCCTGAAATCAGACACCAGCAGTCTTTCTGGCCTGAAGCCCAGGCTCCCCCAACGAGCTTTACCAAGCAAGGCAGGTGGGCATGATAAAGACACCCCCTTTCACACACAGAGCAGCCTCCAAGGCTTGTTACCGAGGATCCTGTGAGGAGGACCGAGAGTTGTGTTGCTTGGTCCATTTGTGGAAGGGGTCACTGATGGGGGAATGAGGGGCTGTGTGGCTGCCTTCAAGACACAAATCACTGTGTAAAGGAGACCAGAACAGCACATCCCTCAGACTTGTAGTCCACACAGGAGCCACCACCCAGGGAACGTACACAAGTTTGACTCCATCAGGTGGGGGTGCTCTGTGACAGAAATGGAATCTGACCCTTTGCTTTCTCTTTCGTTGCTGCTGGACAGGGTAAAGTGTGCTGGACCAGAGGGAAGGAAACTGGTTTGGGATCCTAACTGCCATCGCCTAGCTGCATCCACAAAGTGGGGAGAAAATTCAAAGAATTACTGTGTCATAGGAGATCACATATGGCAAAGCGCTTTGTAAACTGTACATATGTGCGACTACTGTCTTTTCTCACCATTCAGACTGTTGATAATAATGATAAGAAAGCAGCCAACATTTTTTGAGCACACGTTAGGTCCTGAGCACTAAATGAGGTGTTTTACCCTGCTCTTGGCTATCTCTGTGTAGTTGTCAATAATAATACAAGTTCACTTGTCTGAAAGAAGTGAAAACTCTGCTCTTTCCAAAGCTGAATTAGCTCACATTTCTGCTTACCTTCTTACTGCTTTAATCTACAGATTGGCAATTCCAAAGGTAATGGAGAAATTGTTTGAACTGAGGACAACTCGGAAACATGCAGTTAAATGAGCAGTGCTTCTTTCCCCATTAGAATCAATTATCTCATCTAACTGTGCAAAAGTGCTGTCTTGTTAAAGGTCATGAGAATTAAGTAATCCCAGAATGAATAGAACTCTCACAGCTTTGTGAAGA